AGAAGGAGTTGGCCAATATATTCCTAATCACAACAGATCTTGTGTTGATAGAAATATTGGGATGTCCCGAGGAATGTTGACCCGTTGTGGGGGGGATGTACCATAAGAAGTGAACCGATATATTCAATTTTAGCACCAGATCCTTTGTTTTTAGAAATATTAGGATGTGCAACATTTGAAGATAAAAGGACGCTTATTTCACATTTTATAATTATTCCAAATTTTGACCGTTTGTGGTGGAGGTACTTGATATAGTCCGTTTTCGCACTATACCTAGCACTACGATTTGGAGAGGCGAACTTCTGCCTTTTTATACCCTCCACCTTAGAAAGGAGGGTATATTAACATTGTCATTCCGTTTGTAACATGTCTAAATATTCGTCGTAGACCCCATAATGTATATATAATCATAATCAGCATAAAAAAACGATGTCCGTCTGTCTCTCCGTCTGTCTGTTCGTCTGTCTGTCTGTTGAAATCACGATACAGCCCACATTATTTGACGTAGAGCGTCAAAATTTAGCAGAATAATTTGTATTGTGTCTAGGATGGTTGGTATTGAAAATGACATATATCGGTCCACGTTTTAGTACAGCCCCCATATAACGGTACCTCCCGATATTCGGTATTTTGATGATTTTTCCCACATTTTTTCATGGGTTTGTCTAAAAATTGGTATTTGTTGGTCATAGTGGGTTCTAGCTCCGGTGGCAAAACAATGCATGTATAGGTCCAAGTTTTGGTATAGGCCCTATGTAACGGTACCTCCCGATATTCGGTATTTTGATGGTTTTGTCACATTTTTTTCACGGATTTGTATGAAAATTGGAATTAGTTGGTCATAATAGGTTCTAGCTCCGGTGGCGAAACATTGCATGTATACGTCCACGTTTTGGTACAGCCCCCATATAACGGTACCTCCCGATATTCGGTATTTTGATGATTTTTGCCACATTTTTTTTTTTTCACGGATTTGTCTAAAAATTGGAATTAGTTGGTCATAATAGGTTCTAGCTCCGTTGGCAAAACATTGTATGTGTAGGTGCAGGTTTTTGTATAGCCCTATACAGCGGTACGTCCCGATATTCGGTATTTTGATGATTTTTGCCACATTTGTCTAAAAATTGGTATTTGTGGGTTATAATTGATTTTAATGCTTCCATTACCCTAAGGTGGAGGGTATTAAAAGTTCGGTCAGGCCTTAATGTTTTTTTACTTGTTTATGTTGATTTCGTTGACGAATATTGCCAAATATCGTATACAAGCAAATCATATAGATGAGTCTAAATTTGGACATACAGATTGGTCCCTTGCATTTGGAGATGATCGCAAAATATTTAGGGGTTCAAATGAACTATAAACTGAAAACATTTCCTAATCACACAATTGAAACCAATCAACACGGAATTTTGCATGAGAAGAGAGTTAAGGGCAGCAAAGGAGTTTAGCATTTTGGATGACCATTGGATTATATTTAGCTGTAAAATGGATCACAACAACTAACAACATGACGGAGTGCGTAAATATTGGGCAAATGTCCCTGGACACAGTGCTAAGGTAATATCTCAGGTCAGTGTTGACATGACATAATTTCAAAAGAGAAATCTTCCAAAATGGTTTTAGACATAAGGCTGCTTGTAACATATATCAGTGTTGTAGTGTATCACATGGTCGGCCCCGTACGACTATAGCCTTTGCTTACTTTTTTATAATCCGAATAATATAGCATTGATTTGACATTTTTTATTCCTTGAATATATCTTGATAGAATTTTTATAATGCATACTTACATTTAGGAGAGGTGGGTTTGCATGCCTTATAACAAATTCAATTTCTTTTCGATTTTAAAATAGATACGTTCTAGTTTATGCCAATGATCTCGCATGTCATACATAGACATTTCATAGAAAGATTCATGCTGATTTGAATTCCAGCATCCAGTAGCAAGATGATATTACCCTAAATTAGTGGCACATGTTTCTAATTTGCCTTCCATTTTACGTTTTTTCTTACCTGTTGATAACAATAAATTAACAAAAACAAAATAATTCGACATCTACACAACCTCTTTCTGACCTCTAACTATTATGGAAAAACTTATATTTGGAGTTAAGTAGCAAAAAAATGTAAAAAAAAACATATTGTGATAGTATGTGTGAGTATGTCATTGATAATAAATTTAAGAAAAAATATAATGCGAATGGAGTATTGTATTGCTACTACTTGGTCGAGTATATATAAAGAATAAATCGAGACTAAAATTGAAGTACAGAAAAATATGATCTTTTTAAAAAATTTACCCTTGCTTTTATATATTTTTTTCATACTCTAGAATTATTTTTTTTTACAGAATTTTGATGACGCATTTTATTCCAAATTATATTTCAAATTCTGGTTTCAAAAAAGTGATATCCCATCACAAAAAATTTGACTAAAAACTTATTCAAAATTTGAATTTTAATGAGTTTGGTGACGTTTTAAGACATGGCGAAAAGAAAGCTTTTAAAATTACAAATTAAAATTAATTAAAAATTGCTTGTTTAATCTGGAATTCATTGTAAGTTTAATTACTGATCATTATAGGTTTTTTTTTTTTTGAAACATCTATTGATAAATATTTAAATTCAAATTATTTAATACTAGCTGGCCCGGTCCGCGTTGCCGGCCCATAGTTTTTGTCTATTATGCATATTTGTCAAAGCATGATTATTCAAAGATATGAATGTTATAAATGTTCACGTACTGGTCGATTAGTTTTTAATTTTTAGTCAAATGAGCAGTAATTTGGAATTTACTGTACTTTGTACAACTCGTAATTGAGGGCTAATTGATTTAAGAATAGGCAAAGTTAATTACTTTTTTGAACCCATTAGCACCTCAGATTGTGCATTAGAGTCCTCATAAGTCCCCCTAACCATGTCGGTCTGCTTGTCCGCCAAAAGGTGGACTTGAGGGGATACTATTACATGGAGAAAATCCTAAAATTTGTAGATATGTTGAAATTTTTGTGTAAGATTTTCATCCCCAAATACTCATTTTTAGCCAAATCCTTTGAAATATGGTAAAATGCGAAACATCGACCTACATTGAAAACTTTCTTCACCCCTTATAATCCAAGATGACAAATAGAGGCCAAATCAAAAATATAGCTATTTTACATCCATTACCATAAGATGGGAATTAATTTTATTTGCCATTTAAATTGTAAGTTGGAGTCCATATTTTTCATCATAGTATAATTTAATGACGATTCAACAAATATTCGGTCCCGTGCTACTTTCTTATATTTGTAATTTGTTCATGTTTTCACAATTTATTTCATATATATGTATATCCCAAATCTACGTTCCCAACCAATATTCTCTTGGGGGTTACAAATTCAATAGAATACAATTTTTTCTTTTCTGACCACACATTAGATGTGAAAGTGGACTTGGGGATACTCCAATGTGGGGACTTTACATGAATAAATTTCTATGTGGCAATTATCTGTACGATGGTTCCTTACCCCAGGGTAGCATAAATAAAATTTTTTAGTGGTCAAGACCAATATGGGCCCTACTCCGAAAATTTTATGCGAAGAGGTTCTCTACGCCCCTTAGAAACAAAGATGCAAAATAAGGGCCAAAAATAGAAGAAAATGGCGAAGACTCCAAAAATGGCTTAAATCATACGATGATTATTTATGATCGATATCATGACCTGCTAAAGCGATTTAAGGTATCTTAAATGTTCAGGCAGAATTTTTGGAAGGATAGAAATCCTTTTCTTACTAAAAGTCCCATTCGCTCTACTATTTTGCACCCTTTATATTTGGTATTTTACTGATTGTACTCCCAAAAATTTTTGCATTTTGAGCTCTCATTGGACGGATTATTGTCACATGAAAGAAGTAGGGCCACGCTTTGAAATTAGCCCCATTAGTCTTTTTCGGTCATTTTTGTTTGTTTAAATGTCTGCGCATCTTCCAGCTGAAGCACGATGTAGGCCCTGGAGTTGAAAGGTAGATGTCAGTTACCATCGTATTTCGCACTTATTTCATTTTTTTGGTGAAAAATTGTATATAGTGAAAAATTATTCTTTATTTTGTTCACAAAAAATCCACTGAATTCAATATGATATTACAAATTGAAAAAAATTGACAAAAGAAGAATAACAAATTGAAAAAATCTTTAACTTGTTCGCTGATTTTTTACAGCAACTGTTTAAAGATCCTTACAAAGTTTGTCAATAGAATGTACTTTTATTTTAAAATTCAATTCCATTGGAATTTTTTCGATATTTTCCCGTTTTGAGAATTGTTGCAATGAGATCTCTTTTTCGTGTTTCTTTTTAACGATTTTGAAAAAGTAATTTTCTTTTAACTTTGGTGTGACCGCATTAAATTATTTCGGTATCATCTATTCCGTTTCGCCACCACATAATTCGGTACTACACTTCCATGTAACCCGTTATCAATTTCAGTTCTCAAGAAATCAAGTCAATTAAATAAATTGGTATTAATATTCGAATTCAAAAATAAAATATAAAAAACACTACAAATGTACATTAGAAAAAAGTAAGTCAAAATGGAAAAAATCATGCAAAATAAAACATTACTATTGTACATTTCAAAAGTCAAAATGAAAATGTTAACATATCACATTTTTACGCGATTTTTTTGGATATTATCCTTTTCGGATAAGAGACAATTCCGAATTTGTATGAATCATTAAAATCAGTTCAGCGGTTCTTAAGTTATAAGCGTAGTAACTAACACAACTTTCATTTATATATATAGATTTTGAATTATTTTTTGTCCTTTTGAATAATAAAATGAATATAATTTCAAAAAATTGTACTTTACCTTCGGAACCAGAATTGTTCTTTCTTTGTTGTTGTTGTTGTTGCATCTCATGCGGTGGCTTAAATGCGTGCTCTAAGTATGAGACATCTAAAGCCGGCTTGGGTAGGTATCTTGCCAACAATGTTCGAAAAGAAACGGCTATATAAAAGCAACACAGCTTTACCACCATGTTTTCAGTTCGATCTTTAGCATCAGTGAATCAACGTCGATAAATGGCTAACTAACTTGGCGCGCTTTTATAAAACGTCTTAACAAAAAACAAACATTGACAGCGTCGTGTGTAGCAGTTCTACAAATCAAGAAGTTGATTGTGTGCAAGGTCGAACATAAAATTCTAAATAAAGCGTCAAAAATAAAAGAAAAAGAAACACAACAAACAAATATTTGTTCATAACCATAACCTACGGTAGTAACAAGAAGTTTGGCCCAACAAAACAAGAAGTCAAAGTCAAAATTAACTATTTGTGGTGTAATTAAAATAATTAACATAACAAAAAAAAAGAGTCAATTTTTAGTGTTTACAGCCGATTCACTTAGAAGACCAGACAAGTTAAACAAACGAGCATAATTTGAATACAATAATAACAACAAAACACAAAAAGCAACAAACGAAAAAAAAAGAAGTTACGTGACTAATGTCCAGCTCGATCGTTTAAGTGTTAAAATGAAAGTTATTGTTTTATTCGCTCTTCTATTGGCCCCCGTTAAGGGTCAACAATTTAACTATGCCGGCAATGCCAATGGTAAGACAAGTTATAAATACGAAAAGTGTTACACAAAGGTAGTCTAATCAACCGAAAACTATAACCAAATACTGTGGGAACATAAATCAAAAAAAAAAAAAAAAAATTAAAAATATGCCGGAAGTGATCTAAATCAACGTTAATTGGAGTCATTTGTTTAAAGAGTATTAAACGATTTATGGTGTTTTTTAACACCACATGTGTGACTAATGGAGCGTTGACTTTGTACGGGATAGCAAGGAATGACTGAAATTTAAAAATAAAGTTTTTTAGAATCAACATTTTTGGGAAAATCCAATTATTATAATTTGAAGAAAAAAAAAATAATTTGAAGAAAAATCCTCTGAAGTGTTATAAACATTTATTAGCTTTGCAAAATTACGCTAGAGGATTTGAAATACAAAGTTATCCACAAAGAAATTTCATTAAGAACTAATATAGATAAAATCGTGGATATTGAAAGAACTATTAGTGGTGCAGCAGTGGACTTTTTAATAAAATGACTATAATCGATCTTTACGAATTTTAGCAAAGGACAATCAAAGCAATTTTAAGGATTTGTTCAATAGTTCTTATTACAAATTATCTCAAGCATAATTTTAAACATTTTAATGAGCTTTTACAACAATAACCGTAAATTTATTTAAAGGATGTTCTAAAAGAACTACTCGAAGGACTTACATAGCCAAAATAATTTATTAAAAGTACAGCTGTAGCCGAATTTCCTTAATGATTTGGATTGGATTTTTGTGGATATTAAAATAATAAAATTTTTAGAGGACTATTGCAACTATAATCTTAAATTCGGTGGAACATTTTTTATAGAATTATCTAAATTAATATTTTTTACAAAGAAACTACTAAACTATAATCCTAAATTTTTCAAAAAATTATCGGAGTTATAGTCGTAGATTTCTAAAGAAGTTTATCAATAGACTATCGGAACTAATATCTTAAAGTTATCAAAAAATTTCCAAAGAATTTGTAAAAAAGTGCTTAACAAGTGCTTAACGGAGCTATTACAGATTAAGACAACATTTTAATATTTTTGTGTCAATAATTTTTGCGCGGTAGTATCAAAACAATAATATTGAATACACCTGACAATCAGGGGTCATTTTTAAAGAATTTTCTCTTAGTATTATCTAAGGTATTTATAAATTTTCTTCAAGGACTATCGGACTATTTTCATAACTTACTCACAGAATTATTCATTTAAGATCTACTGGTATTTTTATACCCTCCACCATACTATGGAGGGTATATTAACTTTGTCATTCCGTTTGTAACTCCTCGAAATACTCATGTCAGACCCAAAAAAGTATATATATTCTTGATCAGCGTAAAATTCTAAGTCGATTTAGCCATGTCCGTCTGTCTGTCCGTCTGTTGTAATCACTCTATCTTTCGAACGAATTGAGATAGCAGGCTAAAATTTTGCACACGTGTTTATTTTTCCAGTAGACAGGTTAAGTTAGTAAATGGGCCATATAGGTCCACGTTTTCATATAGCCCCCATATAACCGTACCTCCCAAAATTCGGTATTTCGATGATTTTAGCGACATTATTCACCGGAATTGTTTCAAATTTGGTATTTGAGATTCGTAATGGATACTACAGGCTATAACAGAAAATTGTCTGTGCAGGTCCACGTCTTCGTATAGCCCCCATATAACGGTACCTCCCTATATTCGGTATTTTGACGAATTTAGCGTCATTATTTAACGGAATTGTTTCAAATTACGTATTTAGAGTTCGTAATGGAAACTACAGTCTGTGACAGAAAATTGTCTATGCAGGTACAGGTCTTCGTATAGGCCACATATATCAGTACCTCCCTGTGTTTGGTAGGTACACCGACCTTTTTTTGAGATTTCGTATTTGATGTCGTAATGGATGGCCTGTGACAGAATATATATATAGCCTGTGACAGAAAATTGTCTATGCTGGTCCAGGTCTTCGCATAGCTCCGATTTAACGGAACCTCCCTATATACGATATTTTGATGATTTTAGTTACATTATTCACCATTTATTTCAAGTTTCGAATTTCAATATGGTAATGGCTTATGACAAACAAGGCCTATGTAGGTTCATGTCATATAGACCCCAATATAACGGCTATATTCTGTATTTTTAAAACTTTAACAGAAATTTTAAGGACTTTATTTTTTGAGAATTTCTAAATTGGTTCCAAATGGTAGAGGTTATTCAAAGTGGTCCGGCCGAACTTACTGCTTTTTAACTTGTTAATGATTGGATTTTTACATAACCGTTACAATTATGCGAGGAATATTATTGGATTTATGATCGTGCTTTGGAGTCAGTATAAGAGACTATGATCGGAGATTTTTCAAGCGTTTTTAATGAAAGAAATAATTGTGATTTAAGGTGCTCAGACTTATGAATACAGGAAATGCTTCATAGAATGACTCAGATCCTATGAAATTTGCATAGTGGTAAGGGTATTATGTCTTTGGGCATTTGTTTGTAACAGGGAGAAAGAAGCGAGATAGACCCATATTTACTTTTGAGGATCTTCATAGAATCATTTTCTGACTCGATTTCCGAATGTTAGTCCGTCCGTCTATGTATTCTTGTGAACAAAATGCAGGTTGCATTTATTATCCGATTAAGACGAAATTTTGCAAACAATATTTGTTTGGGCCAAGGACGAACCCTTTTGAAATTAGTGATAATTGGATCAGATTTAGATTATTGCTCCCATATATCTTCAACCGATTTCGGGTTAATTGTACACCAAGTGGTCAATATAAGTCTAAATCTCTTATGGGGTTTTAAGTCTCTCAATGTTTTAAAACTCCAGGTACATTCGTTCACCCTAAACTAAACTCTTCCAAATTTAGTAACAGTTAGTTCAGTTCGTACACATTTCCAAAACTTTTCAAACTTACCTTTTTACCAAGCAAATTATATTATTTTATAAGTTTAGTACCATTTTATGACTTTTCGTAAACTTAAAGCTCGAATTTCCAAAAATTCTCTAGCACATTTATCCTGCACTCCATTAGTGATTTTAATTCCAAATTTCTGAATTCTAACACATATCGTTTGTTCAATATAAATTTTTCAATTTGTAGTACATTTGAGTACTTTTCGAACCCTATCAGTACGAATTTCATCTATTGATGATCAAACACCTACGCATCAAGACTGACCCTCGTGCAAATTTCAAAATTCTACCTTCAGCCGTTTCGTCTGGGCGTTTATTTTAGATAAGTCAGTTATTTTAAAACTCTATCATATATATTAGTATTTTGGAAAGCAAGGTTGGAACTAAAATATACCAAAGTATCGATCACTTCAAGCAAGCGCATTGCCGGGAATGGGCCAATTTACCAAAGAGCAACTTTCGGGCAGCGTGTGACGGTTTCATTGACCGTTTGAAGGTCATAATTCGTGCCAAAGGTAACTAATTCCAACAAATCTAAAATAATTCTAAAATTTAATGCTATTTCCGACATTTTTTGCTTTTATTCAATAAAATTTAAAAAAATGTAAACATTATGGCTTTCGACTTTGTTGCAGTTTTTTTTTATCTCACCATGTATTTAGATTTATGTGTTCCAAGTTTGAAGATGGAATTGTGGTTCCGATTATCATCTCTCACAACCTCCTCCTTCCTTCCTTGTGCGAGCGAAGAAAAATATACGAATTAAGGAAGGGAATACTCAAGTTAGTATGGATTAAAGACAATTTCAGTTGAAATTCAGAACTTAATATGCCTTCGCCGAGAGGAAATCTTTTTAGCTTATAATGTCAATTTTAGTGTAGTTCTGATAAAATCGAAAGATTAAATCCCCGAACGAAAATATTAAATATTTTCCCCCAACCACTGTTATATCCATAAATACTTCCCTATGAAATGTTACCAGAACCATACAAATTTCAAAACTCAATACTGTATTTATAACTTCATCAAAAATGTATATTTATTCAGAATTAAAAATTCTAAATTCACCGAAATAGCAACCGGGGTGCTCGCTCCCCACCTCAATGGCTACCCAACATTTGGCTTAAAGAAGCCAAATGTTACTCCAAAAACGTGTCTGACTTCATCGGGCAGAAATTGACACCTTCAAATTATAGGGAGTTAGGCCGTACCTATACCAAGGGTTGCCCTTAATTTTCAACAAGGAGTTTATGTGTGTTTTAAAACTGAAGCTTTCAAATTAAAGGCTATTTTTCTAAAACTATTAGAAAAAAAACTTAAATTTCACAAAAATATATAATTTTTTCATTCGAATTGATATATAATTTAATGTTTGAAAATTATTTCATACAAACTTTGAAGTTCGAAATAAATACTACAGCCTAAGACAGAAAATTGTCTGTGCAGGTCCACGTCTTCGTATAGCCCCCATATATGTCGGTACCTCCCAATATTCGGTATTTTGATGATTTTAGTTCGGTCGACTGAACTTACAGCTTTTTTACTTTTTCTGGTTGCATTGGTAGCTTTTGAACTTCTTATTTAAATACGCATTGAGCCAAAAATGAGCTAACCATAAAATGAGAGAATTACACCAGATTTTGGTGAAGTTGATTGCTCCAAAAATACAAAAAACTAGGACATTCGATTAAATAAAATAACGTGTCCCTATTTGTGCATATTACAAGAGAGTAAAATTTTATACTTACTTTTCGTATAATTCTGTCATTGTTTGAACATGGAAAAATGTGTCTTAAAGCCACACCTGCACTCTATTTGTTCTCATACCTAACGTTACAAATTACCCAGTTATTACATTCACAACATACCGATTTGTTCTTATTACACCTGTCTGCTCACCCCACAAAAACTAACAACATGATATTGAGGTGCAATTACATATTGTCACATGAATAAAACAATTTTTTTATGAAATATGGACTCACACTTAACAGTTTACCCCTTTTTATAATTACTTATCAACCGGGCATGAAATTAATCCAACCGAATTATAAAAGCACAAGAATTACTTCTTGACTGCTTTCAC